ACACATGGACAAAGAGCTTTCAAAAGGGTTACATCCATTATCTTGCCATCAGCAGTACCACTTTCATCAAATTCAACAAGAGGTATTCCAAGTGCTAAAAATGTTATACCTTTTATCAATTGATAAGTGGTTACCGTATTTATTCCTAAACCTTTACTGAGAGGCTGAAAAGCCTTGAGCATTGCACTTTGGTTGGAGAAACATGATAATTAAGGTTTATTGTTCCAACCTGGCCGATGAACACATGTGGGATTAATTGAAGGGGCAGAGAGATAAATGGCTTGGTGAGCCTCGCCTGTCTGGTCTCTGGTTCTCTGATGGTCGGACCAGTTGCGGCTGCCTTAGCCAGTTCTCTGCCTCAGCTGGCAAGGCTCACTTCCTGTGACACATCCCTGAGGAGAAGCCACATGAACCTACCCTGATGCAGCCCTGGGTGCTGTAGAAACCATGTGGAGACCCCTGCCAGCATTGAGATGCTTATATGCTCACTGATTCGGCTTTCTTCCTGCAGTCAGCGTCATTGCGTGAGTTTTGTGAGATGGAGGAGGACTTTGTAGATTGATGTCAGACATATGGGCTAATGTCGGACTTAGGGGCTTGGGCTAGACAGAGTAGGGATGCTTAATGTACAATTACCCTTTATATAAAACTCTCTCTTATATAAATTAAGAGTGCTTATGAATTTTGTTTCTCTAGTCTACCTAGATGAACACAAAACACAAATAGCCCTCAGGGGCTCTAATGTGTAAACAATACTTTTCTCACTAATTACTTACAGTGGGCTCAGGTTACTACGGAGAGAACGTCTCCCTCATACCAGACTCAGGGAAAGAAAGATTCCAATTCCTACTCAGTACTCTGTGGACTTGGCAGGCAGTTAGAGAAAGAATATTGACTAGATATAATCCAGACTATTGACTAGATAGAATCTGAAGTAAAAAATTATTACACATACATATGGATACCCAAGGATGCTTCAAAAAGTTTGCTGAAAAAATGGAACTGAAAGGTGATCATTTTTCCATGAACTCTTTGAAGCACCCCTTCCTATACACTCACATGGGATTATGTTGCATATGCCTTGAGGGGACAGGCTTCATTAACTTCCCAGCACTTCATAGATATTGACTATTAACATATTCTAGGCCAGAGTGGATTAACCATTGTGCTGCTTACTGGAAGGTTAGTGGTTCAAAACCACCAGTTGCTCCAAGGGGGAAAGAGGTGGCAGTCGGCTTCTGCAAAGGTGTACCAACCGTAGGGTTCTCTTCTGTCCCACAGGGTTGTGATAAGTCAGAAACAACTCGGCTATATCGGTTTGGTTTGTCAACACTGCTTAACTATTCATAGTAACATATCTCAATTAACATTACCTTTCCCCCTAAGCTTCTACTACGATCAACTGATTTTAGATGGATTGCGCTCAGCCCGCAGCGCTCAGTATTTCCTTCAGATGAACTGCTGGAAAGAGCATGCTGGCTAAGTTTTAAGCCTCTTTTTACAGCTGTTAGTGAGTACAGCAGGTCACCTAGTAAGGTGGTGGGTCCGAGTGCCATGAGCACTCTGTGTGAGCACTGCTCTCCCCAGGCTTGCCCCAAAGGTTGTGAGGCAGCCATTCAAGTCTTGGACTTCATAAAGCAAACCCGTTCATCTCAGTGTTGTTCCCATTCTGTGTTTGTTTCACTGAACCCTGAGGCATTGATTTGCATTCCTTTGTGTACACCTCGCTGATGCTTATCCTTTGTCTGCTTTGTGTTGGGGACATGTCTCTTTCATTGATCTGTCATAGCCATGCTATAAACCTGAGCCCTTTCTCAGAAATGCCAAATGGTGGCTTGTTTTTCTCCCCCGCCCTTCATTTATAATTTACTTTTAAGGGGCATTTTGACAAAAAGATACTTTAAATAACTGGCATGGTCAAGGCTTGAAAGGACAGCTGTGAAGAACAATCAAAGTGAAAAGAAAGGAGAGGAGCAAATAAAAGGGTGAGAGCACTGTGCTTGAGGCTCCTTGGAGGTCATGTGCGTCCAGCGGCTTCCACCGGCGGCTCTGCAGCTGCACGTGGTAGCCCCAGTGCACAGGAAGGAAAGACAGAGGGAACTAGCAGTCACTCGGCTTCACTCGGGGAGGTGGGTTTGCCAGAGGCAGGCAAAGGCCTGAGCTGAGGGAGCTGTACGCGTTAGCAAAGCGTTTCTGGGAGTTGCAGGTGGTTAGGCCCCTGCTGCTCACGGAAAGGCTGGCGTTTCCAGCTCACTGAGAGGATCCTCGGAAGAAAAGCGTGGGGAGATATTTCTGAAGTCCAGGTCTACCCTGACAGACACGGGCAGGCCAGGTTGCCAAGAGCTGGAATATGACTCAGTGGCATTTGGGTTCAGCACCTGCATGGCTGAAATGAGGGACCACCCGGATAGGACCAGAGACAACGAGCAGACTGGGAGAAAACGAGAGAGCTTAAGAAAACAAACACAAACGAGGCGCCATGGCATCTGTGCTGACGCAGCGTGGCTCTCCAAAGCCAGACTCACTGCCCTGCGTCCACTCTGGTTCACAGTGACCCTATGGAACAGGTTTCCAAGAGTAAATCTTTACGGGACTAGAAAGCCCCATCTTTCTCCTGCAAAGAAGCTGGTGGTTTCAAACTGCTGACCTTGAGGCTAGCAGCCCAACTCATAAACCCTATGCCACCAGGGCTCCTTAGGCCCATCCATTATCCAACTTCTGACCTACTTATTCGATTTTCTTCTTGAAAAGCAATGCTTATTTGTGTCTGTCATGTTGCCTCTAAAAACTTCCTGGGACTGGTTTGTAAGTCCAGGTCTTGCAAGTTCTCCACCCTTGCCAGGGTGCAGTCTGACCACTTTTCTATCATTCATTTTAGTATTAAATACATTTGTGCTGCTTCTCCAACAGGTTGCCGCCTTTCACCGGTTCCAGCTCGCGCCGGCTTTACTGTATTATATTCACCGTCAGGTCTTTAAGTTAACTTACTAACATCTTAATCTGGATGCTTCACTTTCAGAAGTAGCTTCCAGTGATCAAATGAACTGACTGAGTCGGGGTTCATGTTGGCCCCTCTAGGTTCCATTTCTTTGCTTTCTCTTTTTGTTTCAGCCCGTCCTTATTTGAAAGAAGTCTTTCTGCCTGCCTCTCAGGCAGGGTTTTAATTGCAGAGTACGGGGTAGGAGGGAGGAGGCCAGAGGAGAGAGACAAACAGGGCCATGTACCCTGTGGGCCTTGACGAGATCACGAGGCACACAGTAAACACCAGACTTCTCCATGAGTTTCTGCATCCAAAGGTCACAAATGGGGGGCCATGCTGACTGAAACAGGAGGCAGACAAGTACTTCTTGTGCATAGCAGAGCACCAAAGTCCAGTATCCTGTTTGCTCTCCCTCAGGACATTTTCTTGCAACACTTGATTTGCAGGTGATCTTTGAGGTTTTGGAAACTACTAGGTCAAGGTTTGGGGTAACCTTGGACTTGCTCCCGCCTGCACCCTCCCAACCCCCTTTAATTTTGCTGTCAGCTCCAGTGACTTGGCCCTGAGCTCATGGTGGCTCCCTTCACAACAGAACAAAATGTTGCACACATCTGCACCACCCGCAGGAGGAGACGCACATCTGACTGCTGTAATCCAGAGGAATGTGTCACGAGCTGATTTCAGAACTCCATCTCCCAGTCTTCCCTCCAAATCCACCTGAGTCTGGAGACACCAATGAAACCGCGGCGGGGTCACACGAACTCACCAGCTTCCACGGAGGCTGAGCGGCAGCTGCTCATCAGGGGGACTGGCTGGAAATCAAACCAGGTCTCCTACATGGAAGGCGAGGATTCTACCACTGAACCATCACTGCCCTTGAACTTGATTTTAGTGTCATAGAAGCATTGTTCGACAGCTTGGAACAATAAGATTCTGGGGGTTCGAGCATCTCTTTGGCAGCTCCAAATGCCCTTTCTCACTAGCTCCAAAAAACAAGCAAAGCTGGGATTCCTCTGGCATTAAAGTGTCGGGTTAAGCATGATCCAGGCACTGCGGGGATGGGGTGAGGAGCTAACTGAGGCCGTTGTAAAGAGAAATGCCCCCTTTGCATGTGAGCGTGAGGTCACCCCACAGCAAACCTGGCTAGACATTTAGAAAGTAAAACTAGTGCTCTTTGTAGGGAAATCTCATCCGAACTCCAGTGCTTTCCTTTAACATCGCTTCCACAGACCTCAAACAAAACAAAACTAAATCAAAGAATAGCATTCAAACAGCACAAGAGTCACCTGACCATTCAGACGGGCATTTCTGCTCATATAAAAAGAATAATTTTAAAATACACAAAAATGTCCGTCTGAATGATCGGAGGACTCTTGCGCTGTTTGAAGGTTACTTACTTATTTTGTTTACTTTTGTTTCGTCTGTGATTTCGGTGCGGCGGCTCTCGGCCCTCAAAGACCATTTATTGAGAAACTCGGCCAGGTGTGCCTGATGTTCTACAAATAGTAGAACTCTGAACCACCAACATGGCAAAGATCTGACTCAGCCAACACAGCTTCTTCAGCTCCACTCACCTTCTGTCTCCATTCTGCCCAAAGGTTATCAAACACTTCCGGCCGCCTCGGCAAAGACACAGACCTTCGCAACCCGGGTTGAGGTTGAGAGCCCCTGCCCTGAAATCACAGTGCAGAGGGATACCTCACCCCCCACCCCCCAATCTCCCCATCAGGAGTTAAACACATAATGACAGAAGCTGGCAGTGGCCCTGGGCTACTTTATCCTCTCACTTGAGAAGTACGGAAACCCACCGTTTTGTAAGCTAGAACTCTCGGAACCTAAACGAGGGAATGCGGAGCCCGCCTCCCCAACAGGAAGGTCTTTCATCTGAAAACTCAGCACTGCAGAGATCCTCTGCTGGGACGACACCGCACCTCTCTTCGGAGTGTGAAGTCAGACGTGGCCACCCCAGACAGAGACTGGGACCCAGTCCCAGGCCTCAGTCCTGGCTCAGGACACCTACCTGCGACAAAGAAGTAGGCCGCTAGGATGTTGCTGAGTAAAGCCATCTCCATGCGCTGAGGCTGCAGGGCAGCCTCCCAGCCGTCCCCAGAGGAGGCTTTCAGTGGGTGCTGCTGCTGGATCCGGGTGCCTTCTCTTCCTCCTGGTGGGAGCACAGAAATGAGGGGATCAGCACACATCTGCTCTCCCATGGCTGCGTTCCAGGGAGCCTGGGCTCCACAGTAAAGAGCCAGCTTCCTAAATGCCCATCAGCTTGTCCTGCTGGGGCCACAAGGACCACCGCTCTTAGCTTCTTTACACAAGTGAACGCTCTGCCTTTCAAGAAAGAGTAACTCCTCACATGTGTGTTTTGGGGTCCCACCTCCCCTGCTTAGTACTTCCCCCTTTACCCTTCCCTGCTTTCTTCATGTCTTTCTCCTTGGGGTTCACTGTTGAGGCCAAGACCATGGAGGGCAAACCATAGTCACCTTCATCACTGCCGTATCACCACAAGCACAGCCTAGCCCTCTCCTGGCTTGATTTCCCCTGGGCCTGCACTGATGGCCCTTCCGTACTGGATCGGTTTGCCTCACCCCAAAGGTCACCCAAGGCAAGTCCCTGTGATTTCACAGCTGTCAGACCAGTTCTGGTTCCAAAGTGCAACAAGCTTTTAGGAACTCAAGACTGCTCCCGGTGCCCAGGTCTTGGACCCCATTGGTGCCTATGCAGACCAGTTGAGCACACGCTGCCCACCAGGGTTCAAAGCAAGGAACTGTGGGAGCTCAGTGTTCAGCTTGGCCTTTTGCTGGGGAGCCCATCCTTTTCCCAGCTGCTGCCGCTGCAGTTCAAACCAACCATGACTATCACTTGGGTGGCTAACAAAGCTTCCCCAGAGAGTTCTCAGAACGGATGGGGAATGAAATGGTACAGACCATCATGACTCCTGTCCAATGCTACTCTGAGTAATGACAGAGAACCGAGGCAGGGTGTGGATGTGTGGCAGGCTTGGTGAAGGCTAGAGAAGCAGAAGGCTCAAGGGAAGGAACCACGGATTCCAGGTAGATAGTGGATATTGCAATAGGAGACACACACAGGGGCTGAGAGAGCTGAGAGTCTAAGGGGGATGGAACAAACAGACACACCTTTCTTGTGGAAACCAGCAGGCTCCAGAGGAGACTCAAGCTAGGAAAGCAACCCCCTGGTAAGACAATAGTGACCACTGGAGCACAGAGACCCCATGGTGAGGAACAAGATCAAGAGCAGGAACTTCAGGGAGCTTTCCACCCAGAAGGGGTGAGCTACTGCTGAGGGGGCCTGCAGCTCTGAGTCAGAGTACTTGGCCTTCAACAATCACTAGAGTTCCTAAAGGTGATAAACGTCCATAATTAGAACCTCCCTGCATTCAGAGGCTGCTCTTCAGATCAGAGGACTTCAGGACCAAAGAAGAAAGAGAAGATACTGAGCTATGTCTGGGGACATAGTTAAGCTGGTTCAGATTTACGCCCTCTATTTACTGATGCGAGGGCAAGGCTCGCCAATTCATTTATGGGACGTGCACATCACTCTGCTGCCTGCCCTTCGGCCAGCACTTTCTTCCTGCTCAAAGTAGCAGGTCCTCATTTTACAGTACAAAGCTGACTGCATCACCTCATAGGCCAAAGCTTTAACTAATCTCCATTAAACTTTTTAACATAGCATGCCTCTTCTTCCATGATACCTGATCTGCCTTCAGTCCTACTTCATCTCCTCCTCTGGTACATGTACACACACACACACACACACACACACACACACACACACTCTAGTCCTCCAAGAATAGCAGCTGTCTTCAGTTTTCCAAACACATCAGGGACCTTTATCTCTCCAGGCTTTCCCCCATCTGGAAAAATGTCCTTCCCTGTTGCCCTCTCCTATCTGTCTACTAAATGTTCTTTAAAAAGTGCTGTCATAATCCCAGTACAGTGAAGTTTCCTATGAATCCCACAGAAACAGTTTTTGGCTACCAAAGTATCCAGATATTCTTTTAATTTTATACCAAAGTTAGTGTTTTGTTAATTATCAACTTATATGTCTAGCTCCTAGAATTAAAAAGATATCTTCTTGGTCTTCATTATCCATGCCTGATTGGAAAAAGAAAACAAAAAAACAGTAAGTAGGCATGATGTTTATGATCATAAGTCGCAGAGAGTATTTTGAGTGTGGTAGAGGGTGAACCACCTTGGAAATAGAGTGCTGACTAATGGTTCTGAAAGAGATGTCAGGGACATCGTTCCCAGCAGTGCTTTATAAGGACTGAGGGCCATGAGCAAGACAGACATCTAACTGTGGCTCTGAGATTCTTCTTGCATGTCTATTTTTTTTTTTCCAGATCATTTTATTGGGGGCTGGTACAACCCATACCACAAGCCATCCATCCATCCATTGTGTCAAGTACACTTGTGCATTTGTTGCCATCATTTTCAAAACATTTTCTTTCCACTTGAGCCCTTGGTATCAGCTCCTCATTCCTCACCCCCCCACACCCCCCCCCCCCCCCCCCCCCCCCCCCCCCCCCCCCGCCTCCAACTCTCCCTCCCTCACGAACCCTCAATAATTCATAAATTATTATTTTGTCATGTCTTACACTGTCCAATATCTTCCTTCACCCACTTTTCTGTTGTCCATCCCCCAGGGCGGGGGTTATATGTAGATCGTTGTGATTGGTTTCCCTTTTCTCTCCTGGTATCGCTACTCTCATTATTGGTCCTGAGGGGTTGATCTGCCCTGGATCCCCTGTGCTTCCAGCTTAGATTTCATCAGCCAGACACAAGAAGGGAGAGAAGGGCTGCCAGTCAAGAAAAACAATCTCTGGATGGCCCAGCCTAAAGAATGATCTGGGATAACCTGGAAGAAGCTCTATGGTCCACACTGCAGAAGCCAGAGTAGGTCAAAAGTAGCACACTTCACAGGAAAGAGCCAGTAAGAACATACGATGGGGTAACCCCCACAAAGCTATGTATTTAATTTTTTTACAAAACAATGTTCTCACCTTCAAAGTACTCTCCATTACACTTAATACATTTGTTAAATCTGCCATTCCATTCTTGGAAACATTTTTCAAACTCATTTGTTTTGATGCCTGACATCACCTCCCTCTTTTTTTTTTCTCCTTCACTTCTTCTATGTCATCAAATTGCTGTCCTTTTATACCCCTCTTATTCGTGGAAACTAAGAGAAGTCACTTGGTCAGGGGAGTAAGGTGCATGGGGCAAGAGAGGCATGCTGTTCTTTGCTAAAAACTGGTACACTGAGATGGTGGCATCGTCTTGGTGGCAAAACCAGTCCCCCATCTGCCACAAATCAGGCATTTTTTCTGTCGCACACTGTCATGCAATCTTTTCAGAAATAAGAAGCTTGATTAACAGTCTGTCCTGGTGAAACAACTCCAAATGCACCACAAGTCAACATTTCATCCATTTAGGAAGTTGATGGGCGTCTAGAACAAGGCTTGTCATCAATCAACATTTCACGGTTTTTGAAATGAGAAAAACACTTATAGACTTGAGTTTTTCCCCAAAGCACTGTCCTTATAAGCTGTGTTCAACATCACAAAAGTTTCTGTGCCATCTTTCCCCAAGCAGGAAAACAAAATTTCACAGCTCCACTCTGTTCTCTTTAATTGGCCATCACAAAAAACAAGGGTCAAGTGAAACTGCTTTACAAAAAAATTCACTGTGACCAAAGAGAAACTTCCCAGGCAATGCCACTGAGTGCACTAACTCAGAGGGAATTTGCTCGGATGCTTGCCTAGCAGGAAAAACATGTATTTTGTTAGCTTAACCCAGCAGAGCTTTTTTCTGTTGTTGTTGTTTGTTTGTGGGTTTGTTTGGTTTTTTTTTTGGGGGGGGGGCGTTTACACCGTCATATTTTAGGCTTTGTGAGCTATCAATTTGTTGCCTCCACTACTCAGCTTTGCAATGTTAGTAGTGTAAGAGCAACCCAAAACAATATGTAAATAAGTAAGTATAGTTGTATTTCCATAAAAATGTACTTTAAAAAGGAGTGGGCTCTTTGACCCATGGGTTTAGAGACCCTAAATTCTTATGCAAAGTATAGCTGAACGACAGCAGCAACAACATTAACTAGGAGCTTGTTAGATAGATATGTATACTCTTTAGCACTAATAAAGTCCACTTCTATGGGATTCCTGGTCGAGTTTGAGAAATGCTGCTCTATATCACTCTGACAAGCCTCCTTCAGCCTGGAACTGTACTATCTATGGAGCAGCAGATAGAGGAGTTTCACTGCTGTGTTCTTTATAAGCCTGATCTTATAGGAGGGCTAAACTCTACCATAAATCTCAATGTTCCACGTGGCTGCACAGAACCTTGAAAGTTAGGAAATGAAGCCAGAGAGCAGGAGTGGTCAGACATTCTGTTCAGAGCATCTGCAATGAGGCAAGATCTGTGAACACTAGCGAGGTGATGAACCCCAGACATCATAATCCTGCTCTCAAACCCACCCCCAGCCCCTCTTTAATGGAGCAGACAGATCTGGACACTCTCTACTAGAGGTCCACCCTGCAACCAAAACACGTCAGCATCTACTGTCAACATAAAGTAAAGGACCAGGGCTATTGTTAAACATCCGGAACACGAGTCTGAATAGCTACCCACCCTTCATGGCAAGGCAGTAACCCTTGGCCATGAGGAAAGGGAGCGTCTATCACTCACATGCAGAATTTCATCGTTATGAACTCACCCTAGTGTCCTGATGAAAACGACCAAACAAACAAGCAAGACCACTCTCTCAAGATCACCGTGACTGATATTTCTTGGCTAGTTGCATGCACTCTGTGTCATTCTCATTGGCGCTCATGTTAGGGGGAACCTCATTGCCAGTGTGACAAATCAAGTTTGGGAGTCTTGAGCTCACTCATTGACATTCAGTATAATCTACCAATAACAAACTATGAAATGACACATACCTGTGCTAGAGGATTCCATCTTATACTGCAGCAGCAGCAGTGAGCGTCTCCTAACCTGTAAGCCCCCATGCAAGTGACTATGCCATTACATACTGTTCAGGGGTGATAATCTAGTTATCGCTTTAGCTACCTGGAGAGATGTGCTGTCACGAACCGAGAAGCAGCTGGTAAGAGTTCATCCCTGATGCTCCTGGTGCCAAGCAGTAATAAGTCTGAAACTTGGTTGGTCCTAGTTGGCGTCTCAGATCTGGAAGAAAAGACAAGAGCACACAATTCAAACGACTACCACATCCCTGGAGATCGCATCATGCCTCGGACCTGGTGTCAGCCAGGAGCCAGCAGAGAAGCCTGGGGCATGTCTGATGAGTCTGTGGAGATGGAGTAGCACCTCCTGAATGGGGGAAACCTGCTGCCAGAGCTTAACAATCTGCACTGTGGACCAGACAGGCAGAGAGGCCAGCCTCCCAAGGTCACAGCAGGAAGGAAACAAGAGGTAAAGGCTCAAAGATGTGTTTCCTCTTCCCTGCCCTCAGCCAAAATCCACACCACAGCTAAAGCAGGATGTGTATCGGGTAGCTCATCAGGGAAGTGTGCAGGAAAGGAGGGACTTCTGTTCCCAATAGCAATGCCCTGATGGGCCATGGACTGAAGTCTCATGGAACGTTCAGTAGATACTAAAGCACAGAAATGCTGAGAGGTGGGTTCTCACAGTGGGCACCTTCCCACCAGAAGTCAGGAGTCCCGACAGGGAAGTTGGGGGGGGGGGGCCCTCTGCAGCCCACATAGCTCCTTTATGCTGCCAGCTTCATTTAAGCACACAGGAAGAATGAGATCAGTCACCGAGTCCCACCAGCTGTGAGTGATTCCCTGGCTCCACAGACAGACTCATTCATCTGCCACACGGCATCCTTGGAATGCCTGCAGAACCCAGACTTCTGCTTGTTCAGGCACATCCGTAGAGGTATGGGGCTTTCTCATAAGCCACTACTGTCTCAGAAATCCTCACGGGGTCGCTGTGAGTCAGCATTGGCTTGTTGGCAGTGAGTGAGGGTAGGTACTCCCCCAGTTGCCTCTTTCCCTCACAAGATTGGGGCCTTCCTCCTCGCTCCATTTCTCTGGTGAAGCAATTACGGACAAGCATAAGAAACTTGCCAAGAAGGATGGGGAGCTATTTGGAGACTCTGTTCTAGAGCCCAGAATCAGGTCTTTGTGACTCACTCAGGCTCAGACGCTACTCTCCGCGAATGAACACCACGAATGGGCTGACCCTTGCGTGATCTCAGTCTGAGGAACAAAGACTTAAATAGAAAAGGAGCCCCCACCTCAGGGTAGGAGAGGAAACACATGGTCCTGGAGAAATGAAAGAGCAGAGGGGAGCCCCCACTCTTACTGCTAGGTGAAGGGGCACACACAATGGAGCTGCCACCTGGCTCCCAGTGTTTCCACCTTCCACCTTCACATCCAACCCATGGAAGCAAACCATTTCCAAGGGAATATTCTAGACTTAGACAGGCTCCTTTTATAAAGTGTGGGTTGTGACCTCCTTCAAAGCCGAGATTGGGTTTTAATTCTCCCACAGGGACAGCGGAGCTCAGTGATGGTTTGTTGAATGAATGACTTGAAACTTGGAAATCCCACATGCCAGCTGGGATCTTATGCCCAAGAAGGCTTGAAAGTGTTAAAGAACAAAGATACCGTTTAGAGCCGAACGGCAGTGTGACCCCAGCCGTGGTGTTTTCACTTGCCTCCTATGCGTGGGAAAGTTGGCCAAGGACTGAATTAAGGAGACTGAAGAAGAACGGACGTTTGTGGGTTGTGGTGCTGGCAAAGAACACCGAAAGTACCGTGGACTGCCGGAAGAGCAAACACGGCTGTCTCTGAGAGAGACTAGCAGAGAGGCTCCTGAGAAGGGAGGAGGACAAGACGGCGTCTCACAGCATTGGGACACGTTCGCAGGAGAGACAGGCACCCTGCAAAAGGACATCGTGCTTGGTAAAGCCGAGGGGCGGCAAACATGAGGAAGACCTTCGAGGAGACGATCGACACAGTGGCTGCAACAACGGGCTCAAAACCTAACAATGGGAGGATGGTGGAGGGCCAGGCAGGGTTTTGTTCTGTGATACACATGGTCCCTATGCGCTGCCACCAACTTGATGGCACCCAACAGCAGTCGTCTTCTTCTCCCATTCCTGCTTCTCATCCTAGGAGACAGACTTCAGTCTCCTTTCTCTCCAGGCTTACCAAGTTGCTCTTCCTCCACACAGTCCACACAGCACAGCCAATCCCTCCAACTGTTCTCATCCAGGAGCCTTCGAAAGCCCTCACTTGACAACCGGCTGAACTCCACCCCTCAGCTGCTCGCTCTCCTGCTCACAGGTTAAGCGCGCCCCCTTGTCCTGACGAAGCGCCATCTCCTTATTCCTACAGGACCGTTGGCATCAAGGATTCAGCCTCTTAGCTTTTGTTTTTTTTTTTTTTGACTGACCTCAATCTCTCTATTGACAGGTAGACAGACAGCTTGTAAGTCAGAGATATAGATAATAGAGGTATTATGTCCGTATTACTCTAAATCTCAAATTTACTCTCAGTCTCTCTTTCTGGATCTGTTTTTCTGTCTCTATAGATTTATATGTACACCCATTCACATACAGATATACTCACACATATTGTATTTCTACACAAATAACACGTGTTATGGTACACACTTTTTGCAAATGGTGCAAACCCCAAGTGTTTCCTATGCATACTATGCATATTACATGTGTGAAAATATTATTTACATGGGAATGTTATCTGCAAAAAATGTTATCTGGGAATATTATTTACATGGGAATGTTATCTGCATGTGAATACATGTATACAAAATCTTTCTCTCCAAAATACTCCTCTCCCAACCCAGCCCCATCTCTCTCTTGCAATCCACTGTTCTTATCTACTTAAACTATGAACTTTCACAATTGCGATAATCTGCAATGATCTCAAGGTAGTTTAATAAATGTTTCTCAATGCATTATCTCTGCCATCACTGTTGTTCGTAGTGCCATTAAGTCAGTACAAACCCTATGAACAACAACAGAACAAAACACCGCCCCAGTCCCCCTTTCTACTTCACCAAGCATGACAGACGTTTCCAGGGACTGGTCCCTCCTGATAACTTGTCCAAAGTGTGTGAGATAAAGTCTCGCCATCTCACTCCTAAGGAGCATTCTAGCTACTTGTTCCAAGACGGATGCGTTTGCTCTTCTGGAATTCCATGGTACTTTCAATATTCTTTGCCAACACTGTAATTCAAATGCATCAACGGTTTTGCAAGTCTTCCTTATTTACTGTCCAAATCCCACATGCAGATGCGGGGATCAAAAATGAGGGGTCAGGGACCTCCTCAATCATAATCTGCACCTTAAAGTTTGAGAAGCACTAACCCAGAAGATCCAGGCAGGAGAACAGGGGGATCTAAAATGCTTTCCAATGAGGAACAGCTGGAGTGATGGGATGTTCCATCTAGGAATCTTGGAGGAAGAAATAATGACAGTTTTCTTTCTCAAGAATCCGAAGAGAGAGAGAGCAGAGCCTGCGCTGGGCGGGGGGTTTTGCTCTGGTCTCCTCCTGGCCATGGCCCCTCGGAGCCGGGTGTCCCCCAGGTGAGCAGCCGCAGCAGCGTCGGAAGGTGTGGGCTGGCCAGGCCTAGACCCCGGGTCACAGAGCGGTCGCGCTGCAGATGTCCCCGCAGCGAATCGCGTTTTCTCTAGGGGGTATGGATGAGATGGCCAGTCTGTGAGGGGCGTGGGAATTACTGGTCGAATGAGAATTTCGGAAGGAATGTGATGCTCAATGGAGCTACGATGCGAATGGTTGCAAGGGACTCCAGTGGTCGGAAGTTCTCAGGCTTTCCAACCGGTTGTAGATTTCCATGCCTGGCGCTGCTATTTGAATAACCCCAACTTTGGAGGGCTTCGTTTTTGCCTCGGTTTACAATGCTCAGAAGAGTGCAAAGAAGAGTGAAGACAATCCAAGTCAAGATTACAAAGGACCACCTGAATCGTGCCCAGCTACCACTACTGACAGGAATATGAATGTCCCCAACAGCCAAAAACTCAAGAAGGTGAACTGAAAAATTAATGCAGTATTTTCAGTCAATGATAGTCATCTTGAGCCCAACTGAACCTAAACTTTCAACTTTCTCTCGAACCATCTGGCCCAAAGATAGTACTTCCTTCCGCTTCAGCCAAAAAGCCTAGTCCGGTTTTTGTTTTGGTTGTAATAAAACGCTTTGTAAGAGGCAAATTGCCTATCATAGGATCGGATGTGCCTCCCTGTTCTGCTCTACACAGTGCACCACCGCATAGTCTTCGATCATCTGCCTGCCCCTCCTCCAAGACAACCTGCACTAATGGCTCAAAGTATAAAAATCTGAATTGCATCTCTTTTGCTGTTTTGATGTATATATAGTTTAGCTCAACCATGCTCTTGTTTAAATCACTCCAAAAATTTCAATGAAAATAGGTTTTTAGCTAATTGAGAAATTTGCAGGTTCTAAAGCTTTGCAGCGTTAAATGAGTGACATGGATTTAGAAGTACTTACTGCCTAAACTGGGTTTTCTATCTCAGATTAAACCTTACTGTGGCAAGAAATAATGAACTATTTCTGAGAGTTATAAGACCACCCAATTATCCTATAATTGTGGACAACAACCCTTTAAAATTATTTGACAGTTATCTTGAAAGCTATTTAAGTATAGAATAATATTTTTAATTCTTTAAAAGGTAAAAACTATAAAATGGTCACAAAAATATGTCCTTACTTATAAGATCCTTGTGAGCTTTTTTCTGTTCATACTTGAACATAAATATTTTACATTTTATTGTAAAAAATTAATTTGTGTACCACCACCATAAATCCTGAACATGGTTTTATGCAAATGACAGTTCAATGAATAAAAATCATTCTAAATACAAAAAAAGAGAAGAATCCGAAGAGATTAAGCACTGAAGAGAAATGAGACTTGCTTGGGCAGTGCTGGGAAACAGAACCCAGGCACTGTGAGGCAAAAGAGACACGTTAGGACTGATCCGCCTGATGCAATATGACTGTTCTAGCCGTGGTCTTCACTCTCTGAAAATGATTGGCTGGTCAGCAATCTTCCAAGGATTGGGTCAGTTTTATTATGTCAATTAAGTGATTTACAAGGGATTGAGTGAGCACTATGCAAATTGAGAGGTTTGGAGTTTATAGAATGAGAGGCTTGG